CTGGGTGGGGCAAAAACAGACTGTTTTTTGCTCTTTTTTTGCCCTCCTTAGCTCTCAGGAGTACTTTGCACACCTCTCAAATCCTCTGCACATCCATTTTGCAAAGGGGGCAGGATTTTGGTAGGCCAAAAATGCTGTATTCAGTATATAAGACACACCCAGATTTTCACCCTCTTTTTTGAGGGAAAAAGGTGAATCTTATACTCCAAAAAATATGGTAATTTAAAACAATATTCACATTTTATTTTAAAAAATCACACATCCATTTGTTTTTTTGAAAAACATATTTAAATCCTATTCTCAAATTATCTATTTTCTGATAATCAAATTAGAGAAGAAATTATGATGTTTTATTGCTTTTTAAATGGTTCATTACAATATGTTAATTGGGAACAATAGAAAAATCTGCTATGGGATCATTATGCCACCTGGAATTGTAAGAATAGTTAAGAATGAACACACACACACACAGACACACACTGCTTAGTGCTTTCTAATCTTAATTGTTGTTTTGCAGATGTGTCATTACCCAATTTGGGAATATAGTCAATGATAGTAGGGAGTGGAGTTTATTCTGATTTTATATTCTAGTGGCTTGTCCTGGTGGTGGTGGGAATGATCTTGGTGGTTCTTTGATTGCGATTTTTACTATTAGCTTGTTTGGCAGATCCTTTTTGATTTGCTAGTATTAGTCTTTGGGTGTTGATTGCTGATGAGGAGGTTTTTTAGCACTGATATTGTTGGTTGCTTTTTTGAATAGTACATTGATGTTGTTTACGTCTATGTGCCTATTGATGCCTGATTTGTTAGAGTGCCAGGATTTCAAGAATTCTCTAGGTTTTTAGCCTTGGCTTGGACAAGGATGTTCACAGTTCCACACTTAAAACTATGGTTATGTGAAGTTAAAGAGCTTTCATCATGTCTTCTGTTCTGCTAATTTTCTGCCTGTTGTCCTACATAGTGGCTGTTGCAATCTTTACACTGTATGTTGTAAAGGACTCACATCCATAGTCATCTGTACATGACACCTTTGTCATCATAATAAAAAGGACCAACTGGAGAACACACACAAAACCATTAACAACATTTTCAAAGATATAAAATTTACAAGGGAAAAAGAAAACAACATGTTATCCATCAACAGAGACAGCAATGGCAAATTGGAAATACAAATTTATTGGAAAAGCCACCCACACCAAGTGTTCCACTACCAAAGTAACAACTCAACTTCCCACAACAGAAACTATGTAAGAAAACTATTTAGATCAACACAAACATATTGCAGCATCCTCAACATCAGAAAAAGGGAACATATCATCTATACCTCCAACAAAATGGATATCCATTTGACTACTCAATCTGATAGAGTACAACCAACTCAAGCTGTGAAAAGGATAATACTGTCATACATCAAAAACATCTAAGAAACACCAACAGACTATTACAAACACATGGATTAGCATGGCACACAAACCAACTAAAACCTCCAACATATCCTAAGAAAACCAAAAAACCCAGCAGCCCCAGGAAAAAGGCATCATCTACAACATAGAGTGTAAGGGCTGCAACAGCCACTTCAACAGAAGACACCCCTAATTTTACAACACAGACTTACTAGGAAAACTGACAATGCCAAGGAACCCTAAATTGTACCTTAAAGTGCAGTAAGAAACAATTCTTGGATTTGTGGTACCAGACTTTTTTTTAAAAAATGTTATAGATCAGTTTATTCTAATTAAAAAGTTACAGAAGCGACTAAATTTGTGTAAGTGAAGAGGGGTAACACTTTTTTCAAGTTCAAGTGAAAGACAAAAAGAAAAGTATAAAAAGTGGAAAGAGGGGCACATAACTAAGGCAGAATATCAGCAAATAGCCCAAGCCTGTAAACATGAAATGTGGAAAGCTAAGGCTCACAAAGAAGAAAGGCTTGCGACAAAAGTAAAAAATAACAAAAAAAGCTTCTTCCAACATGTTAAAAANCAGGGCCATGGCGGTGCCACCGCTGCCCTGGCCCGGCCCTGCAGGGAGAGCTGGGAATGGTGAGACTGGGAAGCACGCGAGCTGGAGGCAAAACAAGTGCTCGCAAAACCTCTCTTTCCAGCTGGGCAGAGCGCCATGTGGCTTAGTCCCTTTGGGATATTACTGGGTCGGTGAGTGATGCTCTGCCCAGCTGGAAAGGGCCATTGCTGGGTGGCTGCTCATGAGAGCAGCTGTCCGGTAACCCCCTAGTGGTATCCCAAAGGCATCAAGCAATGTGAGTGCTTTTGCCCCCCCTCCCCCAGCTCCTATGGATTTGCGCCTTTGGGATATCGCTAGGTTGGTGAGTGGCGCTCTGCCCAGTTGGAGGGGCGGGTTGTCCAGGTGGCTTAATATTGGGGAGGGCGTATATTTTTGCCCACAAGAAAAATATGGCATGGCCTTATTATCAGGACATGTCATAATTTTGGGGAAACACGGTATATTTTCACAAGGTACGATTCAGATAGTTTAGTGCAGGGGTTTCAAACTCAATTTCATTGAGGGCCGCATCAGGGTTGTGTTTGATCTTGGGGGGCCAGTAGACATGGGTGGGATGGACGTGGGTGGAGTGAGCATGGTCAGCTTGACATCACTTGTGTCAGGGGCACCTGTGCAGGTAGGCGCCCACGCAGGGCTGGGGAGATCCATTGTCTCCAGCGGAGGAAGGAGAGATCAGGGAGAACGGCTGTGAGGGCCTCCTGCAGCTCTCTGCCAGTGAAAACAGAGCTCAGGAGGGGCGCACGTGGCCCTCCTGAGCTCCATTTTCAGTGACAGAGGCACCACGGGCTAGTCCTTCACTGTTTTCAGGGCAGCCACGCAGGCCAGAACTAAGCACCCTGCAGGCCAGATCAAGCCCATGGGCCTTGAGTTTGACAGCCCTGGTTTAGTGCAATGAAGAAATGTTTAGAAAAATGGGTTTGGACTCAGTAGAAAGTCACATTCTTTAGAAAAAGGATTAAATGAATCTTCTTGGGGCAGCTTGAAATCTTTTTCATACAAATCTGTCATTCTGATAATTCTCAGATCTATTCCTGAGTTTTAATATGAACAGAATAAGAACAGCAAACTCAGAAAAACTTTCTAGTTGTTGCTAGGATCATCTATTTTGATGCCAAAAATCTCTCTTTCCCCCAAAAAACTAAAATTAAAAGTATATTTGTAGCAAACAACAAATCAGCAGAAGAGAAGGTAGGTGGGCAATGAATCTGTAATGCCTTCATTCTTCTTGGGATCTTGGTTGGGTCTGATCTCACTAATTTCCAGAATAGTCACAAAATCATAATGAAACTGTATTATGAAATATTCATTATGGAATATATTTATCTAGTCAAGTGCACACATTTTACATCTGAAATTCATTAAGTGAGCATTAAATCACTCATCTCCTTGCAAATATAATTATTTTGTGCTATTGTTCTAGAGATGGCAAATGAAAAATATATATCATGTGAAAATATACAATTACTTTTTTAAACAAAACCTACCACGTAAACCATGGCACATCTACTAATTGTGGCTGGATTGGCTTCAGACACACTGTCCACTTCAAATATCACTCTGAAGGCTGATGATAGATAAATTCTTTCACTGTTAGCAAGACATAATGTTCTGCTGTCATCTAACACAGAATTTAAGTTTTCTATCCAAAGTGGATCTACTGGACCATCCAGGATAATCCACTGCCAGTCAACAGCAGTTTCACCTAAAAGAACAAAAAAAATCTAGTTTAAGTACATTTAAAAATGTAAAATAGTACTGTATTTTTCAGTACAAGACGCACCGGAGTGTAAGACGCACCGTGATTTTGAAGAGGTAAATTAAAAAGAAAAAGTTTTTGCACTCTGCAGGCCTTCCAAGCCCTCTGCACGCAAAAGTGGGGGGGACATCCAGAGCTTTTGGAGGCTCTTAGAGTGCCCCTGGCTGCTGGGTGGGGCAAAAACAGACTGTTTTTTGCTCTTTTTTTGCCCTCCTTAGCTCTCAGGAGTACTTTGCACACCTCTCAAATCCTCTGCACATCCATTTTGCAAAGGGGGCAGGATTTTGGTAGGCCAAAAATGCTGTATTCAGTATATAAGACACACCCAGATTTTC